CCGAGTCTCTGAATCCCTTGATCCGATCGATAAGTCACTGCCCTCTAATCGACGGTCTTTGAGATATAACAATAATACCGACTAATTTTATAATTTAATTCAGGTATTGGCTTAAAACATTTTATATTTTGCTTCGAAACGTCATGTTATGTTTATATAGTTAATTAGAATAAAATTGAGTTAATCAGCTGATTATTTTAATAACTGAAATTTGATGAATATATATATATATATATATATATATATATCCCGTGCTGGTCGCTTCGATATAGTCACTAATGACATGGGTTATTTAGAAGTGACAGATTGTGGATAGGAACAGTATTCTGATTTGTAATCCCTCTAATTTTCCATTTATCAATTCCTGTAGCCGAATGTGTTGATATTCATACCGAGAACATTATATATTATATTGTATCACAATGGAGATTTTATTGGGTTGTTTGACATTTTTAACTGAATTTCATTAGCTATTGAAGAACAATCTATTCTGTATTACAAGTTGATTAGATTTAATAGTATCATTATAGTAATCCCTGTTAGTGTTTAAAACGGAATTAAAACTAATAATGACATTACTGAAATAAGAAGGCTGACAAAAAATTAATTTATTATTTTAAAACTATATATTATAACTTTATAGTCTCCACAACCCCATACTGATAATTACCATGTACTCACTAGTGACTAGCCTACTGAGGGAATTCTCGGAGTTCTAGTGAGAAGCTGTGATCAGTGGAGCTAATCCGTGTTGGATAGAGACAGGTATCTACCTCAGTACAATGTAACATGGTTGCGCAATTTTGTGGATTGATTGAAGTTAGACATCAATACAGTTGGATGACGGCTCCGTGGTCTAGGAGTTGAGCAATTGCATGCGAGATCGAACGTCCTGGGTGCGAATTCCATGTATAGTATCATGGATGTGTACTATTGAGAAGTCATATACTAGGACGAAGCAGTCATCCAGTTCTTCCGGGTTTTTAATTGTGATCTAACATCAATCGGTTCATGAACTCAATTACAAATACACTAATTTTTATATAAATTTAACTGATAATTGAACACAATCCATATCATTAGATAAATAAAAGTTTGGATACAAAAATGAATTTAACACTGAAATTATGCAATCACATTTTATCAGTAAATGAATATTATCATAAAACCAATGTTGTACAGTGTAGAATAAAGTATACATTTCTGAAATCTTTCACATTCTTAGCACTATTTATTCATCATAAAATTTGATAACTTTTCATTGAACTGACTTTGACAAATGTACCTGACTGTATACATTAGAAACTTATATAATATAATATTCCAGATTGAGATCATCCTCAGTGTCTTCATTGTTCTACGTCTGACTTGTTCTTAGCTGTTTCAACCAGCTCTATGTCTGTTTAATTAGTGAATGCTAAATAGTTAGTTGTGGCTTTCATCAAACATTTCATTTCAGTAGACTGATATTTCTGACAGCTGTATTCTATGAATAATTTGATATAATAAAGACGAAATATCTGATGAAAAACACAAACAGTAAACGAGATAACTTTAAATGAAATGTTTAAATTACATCTCAATGTGCGGCACCTACCTACCTACCCAATGAACGGAGAAATGGATCAAGTTATTGAGTGCCTCAATTTTTAAAACATTATGAGTAACCTCAACCAATACTTTACTATTTTCAGTATAGTAACCGTTTAATTGTTCATTTATTAAGATTATTCATGCAATAGATATTTCAAATGGATGATCACTAAGAACCTATCTCGCGATTATTCTCATTCAAATGAAATTAAGTTTCATAGTAATAGAAAAGCGTATTTACTTAAAATCGCAGAAAAAACAATGTCAAAATAATGTGAGTTGCTCAGTTTTACTTCATCTTTGTTGTACAACACAAATTTCAATGGTCTGTTTCTACTTGTATGCTTATGTGATTTTTCAGCTCCTCCTCCGGCACCTTCTCCTCCCCTCTCTCCCTCTCTCTCTCTTCGATTATTTGTTAGGTTGAAATTTTTATCAAAATAGTTAATGCGTAAAATTGTTTTTTGTTTTGATTAATTCCGTAAACAACGATAGTGAAAAATAGTTTCATTTATTATTATTATTATTATTATTATTATTATTATTAGTAGTAGTAGTAGTAGTAGTAGTAGTAGTAGTAGTATGACTATGATAATATTAATTGAAAAGTGTGATAATTAAATATTTAATCAAGCTGAAATGAGAAGAGAAACGAAAATGTTTTAATTACATAAAAAAGTATCAGATCAGATTTCATAGTTTACATCATGTTAGTTAAGCAAACATTAAAACTTGGGAAGCACTACATAGTTGTTACATGATGTACACTATGAAATAACAATCATCTCAAACACATCTATATGACTAATAACTATGTGCTCAATAGTAACTACATTGTCTGAAGTTTTACTAAGTATCTATGACCAATAAAGTTTGTCAATGTTGTCTGTGTAGCAGTCATCAACTAATGATATCAGAAGATAGTTACACAATATCATAAATTGATTAAAATTAGAAGTGTAAATAGAAGTGTAAATCCGTCGGGGAGCACCAGTTCCTGCAAGATTACAGGTACACCTTGCTAACGAGTGCTAAATAACACGAAACCCGGGTCCAGGGTTTCCTGTGGACTACCTCCAAACACCATCTTATCTCAACATAGTGCACGCAGTGTTGAGTCACCTAAACTAGTGGCCACATCGCAACTTAATCGATAGCATTCGATCTGAACTAAGAAGAACTTAACTCACATGAAAATGATCATCACTCAATGGTCAATAAATTGTGATTAGAAGTGTAAAACTATTTGATGATGAATCAATGTTCTAAAAATTAATTTCTTATCGCTAGGTCTGAAAACCTGAGGCTAGACTTTTGATAAAGTTGTGAACGCGTACTAGTGAACGTTTCATTCCTAGGATGAAACATTTATCTAATACTGTCAGTTTTTTAACGGTTGTTTAACTAAGATTAATTTGTGGTGTAAATTATAGAATTCAACAATTTCCATAAAACCCATATACGGTTCATGATGACAATCAAAACTTAATAATCTCCACAACCCCTATATTGGTAATAAACATAAAATGTTTGACTTTCGTCATTTCCTTTTACACAAGGCGGATATTTGTCAAGCAAATCCATTTTACGCATTCTTTTATGATCTTGTCATAGATGTGTTTTTAAAAATAACACTTTTTAGAGATGATCTTATTGACTTATAAAAAAAAGATTAAACAGTTTTATTTATTAAAAGCATTGATTAAGTTCGTTTAGATGTCTTCAAAAATAGAACAAGAACGTTTGGGATGTGTTTATCTAGATAAAATTAGCTTCAGCAGCATTATATATCGACGCATTTGATCTCGTCGACAATACTACTTATTTGAAATCTTCACTAAGTCTATTGGTTTGATGACTATTGAAATCACTGTACGGATTCTAAAATGGTGTTAGAGGTATCCATACGTGTTCATTTATTGGGATTTTTAAAAATCTGAATCAATAACAAACTGCAATTACTTAACTCGTAAATTTTACAAGTCTGATTTATTTTTCTTTCGTTTTTAACGTAAATAGACGATTGGTTTTTGTTTTATTTTTAATTGCCTTTTGAATGGGATTGAAATGATTTGTGTTTAACACAATCAAAGTAGATTGTTTTATGTTATTCTCTTGTCAATGAATGATTTCCATTTTGAAATTATAAGATAATATAAACATTTAGGAATTAACAATTTGCAAAATCATAATCTATTTGACAAGTGTATAATTCAACAGATTAGGTTTTTAGATATTAATCCAATATATACATATATAACCTGTCAACAAATGCATAACAATTTATTTACGGCGCCATTCGAAACTGTTAGCAGAAAATTCAAAACATTATTTCTTTCTCATTCAAATTGATAATAGTTATGAAAAAAATAATGAAAACTCGGAGAGAATTTGTGTATCATCACTCATTCTTCCCAAATGTACTACACCCACTATTCGTATGTATGTATGTGTATATATACATACACTCTGTGTTCAATATTCTACATGAATTTGTAAGATTATTACTGCTTACTTACTGTTACTCCTCATGGAGTAGCATAGGCCTCTCACAAACATTCTCCATCCAACCCTGTCATAGGCAACATTTCTCAGTTCTTTACAGTTGCTGTTCATTCTTTTAATGTCTGCTTCCGATTCCCGATGTAATATGTTCTTCGATTTTACTTTTTTCCGTTACCCTTTAGGATTCCAAGTTAGCGCTTACGCTTGTGATTTAGTGTGATGATTTCATCAATATGCGTCCTATCCGCCAACTTCAGTGTCTTTTCCTAATTTACTCTTTAATTGAAAGTTCGTTTATCCTCTTCCACAGTAGTCTGTTGCCGATAGTATTCGGCCAATAGATATTAAGTATCTTGTATAGACAATTGTTTATAAATACTTGCACCTTTTTGTTAATGATTGTAGGAGTTCTCCAAGTTTCAGCTTCCTACATACAATAGAATTATCTTAACGTTCATGTTGGAAATCATGACTTTAATATTGGTTAAAAAACAATTATTTTGAGTTCCATGCATTCTTCAACCGTAGAAATGTTATCTTTCCTTTACCAATCCTTACCATTATGTGAATTTTGATTGGTTAAAATAAAATATGATCATCTGTAATATGATTGGTCAATTTTATAGAAAAAAATTAATTCATTGGTTGGTTGATAAATGAACAACACAATCATTGTATGTTTGTATTCATGTGATAATCAACGGATGATTATTCATACTAAATGTAACCAATAAAATATCATTTTCCTACAATAAACAAACAAAACAAAAACAAACTACAATTTACATTTTTACATAATGAGTAGTATATTACTACTTAAATCTACTATAATTTCAGGAAAGTTTATTATTATTATTATTCACTTCATTTATTAATTATATATTGTTTTCTTGATACTCATAATGAATCTTATTACATTTACATATAAACAAATCCTTTTTTATATAATCTATTTATTTTATTGGATTATTTATCTTTTTACATTTTATAATTGTTTTACATATATAAATCATTTACCAGAAATAAAAATTTATGAAAATATAACAATTGGTCAAGTGATTATTAAAGATATACGTACATTAATTGGTATATCTAAATCAAATTATATTAAATTAAGTCCAAGTTCATTAACACAATTTTTTCGTTTAGATAATATAACTGGTAATTTATATAGTATATCATCAATTGATTTAGAAACAAGTCATTTATGTAATACAGAAAAATCATGTTGTCGTAATGATCAATATGAACAAGTATCTAATGAATTAGATATATTATATTCAGAAGAATTATCTAATGAATTCAATTATATAAATGATAATAAACGATTACAATATAAATATCAATGTATATTAACAACTTTTATATTAGCTTCAACAGATAATGATATGCAATTTTCTCCAATTACTAAATTACATATCAATATTATGGATTTAAATGATAATCCACCACAATTTAACATGTTTTCAGATTATCAATCAAATATAATACATTTATCATTTTTAGAAGGTCCATTAGGTGTGAATACAAAACATGATTTACCAAGAGCATTTGATGCAGATTATTCACCAATAAATCGTATAAAAAATTATTGGATTGAATGGGATGATATAAATTATGGAATAATTAATAATATACAACAATCTTCATCTTTATCTACAATGACATATAAAAATAATGAAATATGGTCTAAACTTGGACCATTTCGATTAATCTATACAAAATCTATAGAAAATTTAATTATTCAACTTGATCAAGAATTAGATCGTGAAAAACAATCAATTTATAAATTACGTTTAATTGCTCAAGATGGTGGAGATTTACGTGGATCAATACAATTAATAATTGAAGTAGATGATGTAAATGAATTTTCACCAATTTTTGTGGATCCAAATTATGATAATATATTAAAAGATCCACATTTATTTTCATTACATAATAATCAAGAAATTTATAAAAAACAATATAAAATAAAAGAATCATTAGAGATAGGTAGTCGTATAGGACAATTAAAAGCTATTGATTATGATTTATTAATGTCTAATGAAACAATTAATCAAATTACATATCATTTTAGTTCAAATCAAATGAATTGGGATATAACACGTATATTTCATTTAGATTCACAATCGGGTATATTAACTTTAAAACAATCATTAGATTATGAAAATGTTAAAAATTATCGTTTAACTATAATAGCTAAAGATGGTCCAATAATAGAGAATAATAAAGATACTAATAAATTATATTTTCCAATCACATCAACAATAAAAAAATCATCACAAATAATTTATTCTTCTACAGCTTTAATTGATATAATTGTCCTGGATGTAAATGATAATCCACCAATTATATTATTTGAAAATGATCATATTTTAGAGAATAAATATAAAAAAATAATCAATTCAAATAATGACTTAGTTACAATGAATAAACCATATGAAATATGGATTAAAGAAAATATACCAAAAAATACACCAATTATATTTTTTAATGTAATTGATTATGATACTGGTCAAAATAGTGATATAACATGTCAATTATTAAATTCAACTGATATATTTAATATACATAAATTATCTGATTTATATAGAATTGAAACACAAATATTATTAGATCGTGAATTAATTGATCAATATACTATTATTATACAATGTAATGATATGGGTGAACCAATATTATCTAATAAAAAATCAATAATTATTCATTTAATTGATGTTAATGATTCACCACCTAGTTTTCCATTTAATATTTATCATTATCATGTATTTGAAAATAGTGATCCTGGTACACCAGTTCAACCAATGAATAATATATATCCAATAAATCATTTAGCTATTGATCCTGATTTAAATAGTACACTTATTTATCGTTTAGAATCAATTGATATATTAAAAAATCAATCAACTAATAATGATAATAATAATAATAATAATAATTATATAATTCAATCATCATTAGATTATCAATTATTTAAAATTGATCCAATCAATGGTCAAATATTTACACAAGGTGAATTAGATCGTGAAAAAAAATCATCATTAGAATTTTCTATATGTGTTGATGATAGTTTATATTTTAGTTGTACAAAAGTTTTAATTGATTTAGATGATATTAATGATAATCCACCATATTTTGAATTAGATACATATATTATTCATTTAGAAGAAAATAAACAATATTATAAACCAATTATTATATTTAATGTATTTGATTTAGATTTAAATAATAATGGTTTTAAATTTAATATTCTAATTGATTCAAATAAACCGCAAAAAAGTTTTTCAAATGAAAATAATTCATTAAAACAAATAAATCAAATTGAAAATTTAACTAATTCACAATTTTATAAATCAATAAATTATAATGAAAATTTAATTACAAAATATTTTATATTAAAAGATAATGGTTTATATTTACAAGGTGTTTTAGATAGAGAAGAATGTGCAAATTATCATTTCTATATACAAGTACAAGATATACATAATGAATTATATAATTATACACAATATAATTTAACAAGTCAAACAGAAATATTTATTCATATAATTGATATAAATGATAATATACCAATATTTATATTTCCTAATGTTACAACAATAGCTGGTAATCGATTAATTATATCATGTCATGAAATGATTGGTAGTTCCATTGGTCATATACAAGGATATGATCCAGATCTTGGTATAAATGGTACAATTATTTATAATTTAATCATGACAACATCATATATAAAACAATCATTATTTCATTTAGATAATAATTCTGGTGAATTATTTGTTAATACAGATCAATTAATTGAATATTGTGGTAAAATTATTACATTAATTATAACAATTGATGATCAAGGTCCACAAATAAGTAAAATTGGTAGACATTCATCAATGGAACGTTTAATTATTCAATTAGATGATATACCAATAAAAATTAAATCAGTAGAATATAATCAACAATTAAAACAAAAATGGCGAATTCATTCGAATAGTAGATCAGATACAAATTTATTGATTAATAATAATATGAATATGAATAGTACATTTACAGCTAAAACTATTCTTAGTATTACATTAGGAAGTTCAACTATATTTTTAATTGGTTTATTAATTACATCAATTATTTTAATGATTTATAATAAATCAAAACGTAGAAAATCATTTTTAACTTTAAAAAAACTACATTTAAAAGATAATACTATTTACAGTCAACATAGTAACAATGGTAATAATAATAATAATACAACAAATGAAGATTTAATTTGTAGTGATTGTAAACAAGGCGGATTAAATAAAATATTATTTCCTACTAATAATAGTTATGATAATGATAATAATAATAATAATAATAATAATAATAATCAACATTCAAATGAATATATAACTTCTATGTTGAAACCGAAGTCAATCTGTGAAGATGAATTTTCTTCTGGTGCTGTTGCTGCTGCTGTTGATAATAATGATGACAATGTTCACCAACATCATCATCATTATCATCATCATACTGAACAGGGTATGTATTCGAGCTTACAAAATTTTATCTAAATAATTTAAATTTTATATTAAAAGATAATAATTCACTACAATTTGAAATTTGAAAAAATCAATTATCTATGAATAATATATTTGTATTTCAGCACATAGATACAGTTTATCTTTCATTCCATTATTGATGTTATTAATATCAAGGATACAATCATCAAGTATCTTACACGTTAAACATCCTACACGTTATCGATTTAGTTACTGAGTTCAGATAATCAACTCAGGATCTATATCGATCAAAATTAACTGATCAATTTCACTTGTTATCATTTAAAAAATAAATGGAAAGATTTAAATCCTTCCAAATGGATTACGTTAGTATTAATTTTAACTAAACAAACTTATTAATTTATGTGTATTTCATGAGTTCAAACAAAGAAATACAATATGAATTCATTGAATGTTGAAAATACATTCATTTAAGTTTTATTTAAATTTATGATAGAAACCATTCATCTGAAGTTATATATATATATATATATATATATATATATATATCTGCATATCCCTTGGAACTATTTAGTAGCGCAAAAAATTGTTAGTTAAGTGTAGTTTACTATTAAACAAACTTATCTGAATAATATTAACGTTGGTGAGATTGAAATATAGAAAGCGATCAGTATTGTTTCCCATTAGATCGTCATTAGGCTGTACTTTAATATACAGTAATATTTATATGTATATATGAAATTATTAAACCAATCAATGCAATTTCTCAGTCAATCTATTCCAATGTTATGATTGACTCATAAACTGCCTTTGATTAGTTTAATAATTTTGTATATGCATATAAATATTACTGTATATCAGAGTAAAACCTTACGATGATGATGATGATGATGATCTAATCAAAAACAATAATGTTCGCTTTATATACTTTGTTCTAAATGACAATATGGGAATTTTTCAAAATTAGAAATATAATCGATAATATTATTCTCAGTTAACTAGTTTCAATGGTTGAGATCACAAGTCAGTTGAAACTAGACCACCATGGAAAACTTGAAAGCATTGAACGGCCGTTTCATCCTATTGTGAAACTCCTCAGCAGTACTTCAAGATTTTCCATGGTGGTCTAGCTTCAACTGACTCATGGTCTCAACATTGAAATTACTATAATCTCCACAAAACTCTCTCAGATATTAATCAACATATCCTTACTAGTGACTGACTTCAACATGTATATCATTAAATATCTAGTGAGAAGCAGTGACCAAGTGGAGTTCAACCACGTCTGTTGTAAGATAGTAACTCACTAATGATAAGGGTGGAAGTGTTGCTTAATTTTGTGGATTAATTGAAGTTAGACATTAACACCGTTGGATGCCAGCCGCCTCAATGTTCTAGTGGTTAAGCGTTCGCGCGCGAGACTGATAGGTCCTGTGTTAGGAGCCCTCAAAGCGGTATCGTGGATGCGCACTGCTGAGGAGTCCCACAGTAAGGCGAAAAGGATGTCTATTATTTTCAGGTTTTCCATGTTAATTTAGCTTCAACTGACTCATGATCTCATCCATCGAAATCACCATAATATCCATCAGACCCCTTCTGATATTAATTAGTTTCAACCAACGTTTTTTATTAAATGGAATAATTTGATGGTACTCTATGGTGTAGACTTGCATAGACTTTAATTGTTTCAACAAAAAGCCCCCGCCTCATTATTTATAATTCAGTAGTTGAGCTATTTCATTAAAATAAGTGTTGATTTTTTGTAAGACCAATCAGTCAATAGTTGTACTTTGTTTCTCTAGTGTTTTGTCAAATAATTTCAAATAAAGAAGAATAATTTTTGTGATGAGAAATACTGTAAAAAAGCTTTTATCTACATACTGAACCAGCTATCCTGCTGTTTTAAAGTTTACATGACATACTTATCTTTGTTAGATAATCAAAGAAAACTAGGAAACACTATAGAGCTGCTTAATTTTAGTATGATATCTCCAGGCAGTACGCAATCTGCTGGAGCTATATATATCGTATAATGGATTGACGTTTGTTAGATAACATAATGGAAAACTAAAGACAGTTGGACATCTATTTCTATCTAATACGAGACTCCCCAACAGTGTGCATTCACGAAAACACAATAGGGTTGAACCCAGGACGTTCAATTTTCTCAGCAAGTGTTTGAGATTTAAACCACCTAGTTGGAATCCAGTAGTTTACATGTTTGATTTTAATCAGTTCCCGATATTGGAAAGGTATACCTACCTTAAACCTAACATGGTTAAACTCTTCTGGCCAACGGTTCTCAGTAGAAACTTCAGGATTTATCTCTTGAAGTTAGACAATATTAATTACATGATTACCAATAATGTAGGGGGTTGGATGGATGTTGTTTGTTATAATCATAATAGCTTCTTATATATGTAAGAAATGGAATTGAACCTCATTAGAAAAACCTAATAGTAGACGATACAACACACTGAATGCTTTAATCATATCTACAATATGACCATTATCGACCAGATTAGTTAAAAGTCATTCACAGTAATACAAAATGTAAAATTAATAATAGTTCTGAGTTGAATTTCAATTTAGAAATTAACTGAAAGAACATCTTGATGTGCATTATCCAGTTTTGCCTAAAATTGAATGTACATCAATGTAACACAATAATTCAACTTACATTATGATCATATAGAAATATGTCTATTTAAATTAGATCAGTTTATGGAACATATGGTCTTTTAATTGAAATTTTATCTATCACTAATGTACATTGTATTCAATGTCTTTTTAAACATTTTATCTGTAATAGACGTAATATTCAATAAAGCTAAACTATAAAGATGAACTGATGCTGAACGCTTATATCGTTTTTAGATCATGGGATATTTATGCAAACAGCATGCCGTTCACGAATAGTAAAATAGATGATCACAATGAGTAATTATTGCTTATTGATGATATCATGAATAATTTAACACAGAAAAACATCTTAACCTATTTTACTGACAAAAGTAAGGTTAGATACTTAGGCCTAGGGATAAGTTTTAAGATTAGTCTGTACAGTTAAGGATTTATGACTACAGTTAAAATTGGGGTTTAGGATTAGTATTGCTTACTTACTTACTTATTACTCACCTACTCACTCACTCACTCACTCACTTACTTACTTACCTACTCACTTACTCCTGTTACCCCACATTGAGGAGCACAGGCTACCCATTAGCATTTTCAGTCTAACTCTGTCCTGGTCAATCCTTTCCAATTGTTTTTTATCTTTCTCATGTTTGTTTCCGATTCTCGACTCAATGTATGCTTTGGTCTTCCAACATCTAACGGTTAATCTATATGTACTTTAAATTTTAATTCTCACTATAAACCATAGACTCTATATCCTATTCTTAACTTTGAATATTAAATCAAATATTTCAATATTAAGCTTTGCACTTAATTCTAAACTTAATTTATAATCTGAAACCATAATATTAAATCATATTATTAAATACTCATTATTACTTAGTGCATTTTGATTGGTTGAATAGGTTAGGTGTATCAAGGTTATTTAATGAACTATTTAAGCTCAATACGCTTATATGATTTTGAGATGATAAAGAAGATTTGTAGCTCAAATAGATGATTTTAGTGAAGTTTTGTTCTCTGAGCTGGATGGTTTGGTCGTGGAGCTTTCATCATCCTTCTGAACGAGATCATTAGCACAAACTTCATATAGAATTACTTAGGCTCATCCTCATACTTCAGCTTTACTTAGTATCCATATTACCTTAGAAAACATCTTTTAGTTTTTACTAAAAAAATGGAATAATAAATAACGTTAGAATTTTGAACATGTGTTTATCATAATTTGAGCGCGTAACTACTAATGGCTAACAGGACATAGTTTAGTTAATAATGCTTTGGCATTTGAAGAGAAAGATAATAGATTCAAATCTTAGTGTAAATATTAGCATAGATGAAGGTACATTCAACAGTCCAGTTGCAAATAGAAAGGAAGGCGTATGATGAATGCCACGATTAAAAATTATCCAATTTTAATTTTTTTAAAAACTTATAACTAAATGGCAATATAACGGAAGTCCGCTCCGAATAAATATATTCCAATAGAGATTAACCAATTGCAGGTTTTTGCATCAACAACGTGATAATGCTATTTGGGAGACCCAGAAAATTTCTCGGAAAAAGCTCAAAGGGATTCAAAAACAGTGGGAAGCATTTTATCCAGTCAGTATTGAATGGAAGTTACTCAGAAGCATCTAGAAAGTAAAGTGTCATGTGTTACATTTCTAACTAGATGACTACCTATCCTGCTACTATCTTTACAAGGGTTCCAGAACGTTACATGACTATCTGATACGCTATAAATACCTTATAATTCGTGTACATAAACTGATCTTAGACTGAAGAGTCCTTTTCATATTTTTCCCCTCTTCTCTAGTGTTCAAATTGTTGTGTAGAGTTAGCCTAGGGGTTATTAAAAGAATTTAGGAAACTGATTCAAACATTCAGTCAGAAGTTTTATCACACGTAAATCCTTATGTTTACTCTATCTACTTTGAACATAAACCGTTACATTTGTATACCGAATCAAGAGATTACAAGTAGAAACAACTCTAAGTGTGTATATTGTTTCATTAATGAAACTATAACTTCCTTTGATCATGTTTACGGGATTAAACAAGTATAGAAATGTAAAAACAACTACAAAAAAAATATAAAGAACAGTTATCAGTTTGTAAACAATCTACCGATTCTTAAGTAAAAATGGATAGTGGTTAGCAGTGGAATCCAGGATGCGCGTTTGGTCTTATTTAGGACTCGTCTGCTGGATGTGTGTACATCTGAGAGTTTATGTCCACGCTGAGACTCGAACCCAATACCGTTCGCTTCAAACACTATCGCGTCATTCCCTTAACTACTAAGTCGTGATAGCCACCTGCTTGTGCAATGAGGTAAAGTTTAAATTTACCTGGTATTGTTTTACTTGTATCTTCCCATTGTTAG